AGCCCCTCAAGTTGATATATGAGGCTTCTCTTCATCCACCCTGTCAGAGAGGGCCTTTGGTCTGCAGGGACACTCTTCGGAGCCAATAATGAGATTCTAGTATAGTTGTCCAAGGTGCTCATGTCCAGGGCTAAGGCATAAGAATGAAGAAGTAATAGACCCTCATGAAAAACATCACCCCTTAAGATTAAGCAAGTAAAAACTCTGAAGGGGCAGATGAGACAGCTCCCATCCCTGAAAAGGGCAAATGCACTTCAGGGACTTTAACTCTTAGCTTATAAGCTATTAAAAGCATGGCATGTGCTCTCTCCCTGCTCTCCCATCTTAACTCAAGGCTTATGGGGTATTAAAAGCATTTGTGTTTTCCCCCACTCCCTCACTCAGTCACTTTCAAATAGTCTTGTGGGCCTTAGAAACCAGGTGGATCATTAAAGCCAGAACACCCTCTTCATGATTCTCTAAGGACAAACAACATAAAAGATAAAGCTGTTGAGGACTCACTGAAACAACAAATTCCTAGGCCCTTGAACTTGTTACTTGCATGATTTATGTTTTCTTCCACTCTCCACCCATGTGCTCTCTTAACAGCTGCAACAACTCATCCTATCACAGGGCAAAGAGGTTTATGCAGGATGTGGCATCAACATGAAAAATGTAACATTTGACACCAGGATGATGGGCTGACTACCCCTACCTCATGGTTAAAGTGCTTCCCAGGAGAAGAAAAACATCTTTTAAAATACACCTAAAACCAATTGACATTCCTCAATTCAAGTTCACCCCTACTACCCTTTCACATGAATAAAATAAGCTCTTTCTCTTTGTTTTGAGAGGCGATTGACATTCTCTTGGTCAGTGATGTGCCTCCTTTCTGCTCCAGCAAGAATTCCCAATGGAGTCTTGTTTCCATTGCAGTTGTGCCTTTATCTGCTTCTTCTGATGGAGGGCAGAAGAAACCACCAAGCCCTAAGAGGAGGAGAGGACATTTTTTTGCTTAGAATGACATCTTGTTCCCTGTGCCCTCAGTCCTTAAACTGGACCTCCAAAGGAAAAAAAAAGAAGACTGTTCAAAAAGGTCTTTAGGGACACATCTAGCTCCAAAATGTAGTCTTCTTCTTTAAGGTCCCATTAGCTGGGACCTTAAACAGAAGCCAAGAGGATGAATTGTTGAGAGCCAGAGCCGAAGGGGCCCCAGCAAACTTCCAGCTGCCAGCAAACTTCCAGCTGCCAGCAAACTTCCAGCTGCCAGCTGATGATTGGCTCACAGTGGCCCCAGCAAACTTCTAGCTGCCAACTGATTGGCTCCTCTGCAGTGATGCTCATTGGGCCGTTTCCCCACCCTTTCAGACCACGGAGCTGCTCATTGGGGGACTTTTTTTGGCTCCGCCCACACGACCCAGCCAATCGGCCTCAAGAGCAGGAGGAGTGGGGGAGGTTGAGAGGCTTGTGGGAAGCCAGTGGTGGCAGTTGGGCTCTGAAGGTTTTTCCTGAGGAGCTGTGTGGTGTGGTGTGTGTGTTCTAAAAATAAAGTTCATTTCTTTTGACAAGTGGCTCCTGAATTGTGCCCAGCCAGACTGCGGCATTTGGTGGGCTGCACAGGGAACTACTGAGGGTAAGTGATAAGGTAAACTGCTCGCCCCTGAGGGCAGGGCGAGAGGATGGGTAGCCATTTTAAGATTCTTCTTTTGTTTTGTTTCGCTTTTGTTTTAAGTTGCCTGTCCCTGGAGATGAGTGAGACGGAAGAAAAACCGCTCACATCTGAGGAAAAACTATTTGCGTCTGAGAACAGATAGGGAGAAAGGACGGATGGACATTTCAGGAGGATAGAAAGGCTAAATGATTTTGTGTGGTTCCATTTTTGTTTCATTCTGTCTCGGTTTTGTTTGGTGTTATCTTGTTGGGTTGTATTATAGTAGAAATATGGGATCAGAAATTAGTAAAAAACAAACCGAAAGAGTGTTAAGTAAATTGTTAGAGGAAGGAGGCATCTCAGTAAAATCAAGAACAGTCAGGGCATACGTTTATACAATACAAAAATGTAGCCCATGGCTTTTTAAGGAGGAGTAGTTAAATATATCACAATGGAACCATCATGGTGAAGATTTAAAAAGAATAGAAAAGAAAAGCCCAGGGACTCTGCCAGTTGGCACATTGCCATTGTGGACGTTCGTATCTTGTTTGCTTAGTCCAAAGCCTTCAGTTCAGACAATGGTAGAGGAAGGAGAAGACATATTGATTCAAGTAAAAGAGAAGGTCTCTCAAGCTAGTCAGACAGAGGAAAAGATTCAAGTAAAAGAGAAGGTCTCTCATACTAGTCAGACAGAGGAAGAAAGTTTAGAGCAGAAAAAGCCATCAGGGGAAAAGTTACAACCTTAGCATCATCTCTCATCAAGAATGGCCAAAACATTGGCCGTTACAACAAGCCACTCAAACACTTCGAGGCCTAGGAATGGCAACTCATCCCCATAGAAGTGCAATGGTATTAGATTGGAAGGATCCTGAAGGATGTGAAGGAACTATACAACCATAGGTACTATTGGACAACCTAAGGCAGGCACAGTCCCTAAGCCACACGCTTGTTGTTTAAACAGAGAGGGGGAGATGTTGAGAGCCACAGCCGAAGGGGCCCCAGCAAACTTCCAGCTGCCAGCAAACTTCCAGCTGCCAGCAAACTTCTAGCTGCCAGCTGATTTGCTCCTCTGCAGTGATGCTCATTGGGCTGTTTCCCTGCCCTTTCAGACCACGGAGCTGCTCATTGGGGGACTTTTTTTGGCTCTGCCCACAGGACCCAGGCAATCGGCCTCAAGAGCAGGAGGAGTGGGGGAGGTTGAGAGAGGCTTGTGGGAAGCCAGTGGTGGCAGTTGGGCTCTGAGGGTTTTTCCTGAGGAGCTGTGTGGTTTGGTGTGTGTGGTTCTAAAAATAAAGTTCATTTCTTTTGACAAGTGGCTCCTGAATTGTGCCCAGCCAGACTGCGGCAATGAATAGTCACACATCCAACGTGCCCCAGGGCCTGATCCCATGCTGAACTTGTCCTAGTATCCTTCACAGATTATCTACCTCTGAAGCAGAGGGCCCTGTTCCTGAGTATGAAGTTCCCACTGTTTCCTAGGGCCAGACCTTTAAAGTGCTATTCACTTCTGTGAAGAGAATCAGTTTTGGCAGTGACAAAAGTAGATTCAGAAATGTCCCTTATTCTTAGGTGACCAAAAGGGCCAGCACTGGTTCCCTCAAGCGAGGGTGTGAAGGACGATTGGGGAGGAATCCTGTTATTCATTCAGTAAGTACTCATTGACACCTACTGTGTGCCCCATACTAGAATGGGTGACAGGGATATCATAAGAAAACAAGAGAGACCAAATATTTGTCTTTCTGGAGTCTGGGTTCAAGTTCAATGTTTTGTACCTCTTTGGTGATCTAATTAAGCCCATGGATCTTTTCTCAGGAAAAAAAAATACCTCTTTAGTGCCTAAAACAAAACATGTAGAATTACAAAGGAAAACTATTATATTGAAATATAGTTATCAAAATATGGAAAAAGAGCCAGGTGTGGTGGTACACACCTTTAATTCCAGCAGCTTGGGAGGCTGAAGCTGGAGGATTGCAACTTCAAAGCCAGCCTCAGCAACTTGGTGAGGTCCTGTTCAAAATAAAAATAAAAAGGTTTGGGGATGTAGCTCTGTGGTAGAGTACCCTGGTGTGTGTGTGTGTGTGTGTGTGTGTGTGTGTGTGTGTGTGTGTGTGGACACATATAATATATAAAGCAAATATGTGCTAGAGTAATATATATATGTGCTCCCCATTAATTCATTAAATCATAAGATCTTATGGAGGATCTAATAAGTATTGTGATTTTTATTTTTTCACTTTGTACTACCAGAGATTGAACCTAGAGGTGCTTAACCAGTGAGACACATCCCCAGCCCTTTTTATATTTTATTTTCAGACCGGGTATCACTAAGTTATTTAGGGCCTTGCTTAAGTTGTTGAGGCTAGCTTCAAACTTGTGATCCTCCTGCCTTGGTCTCCTGAGTTACTGGGATTACAGGTGTGCACCACCATGCTAGTATCATGATTTTTAAAACAGTGATAAGATTATATATTTCAAGAGATCCACAACATCAATAACGTGATGTAAAAATCTCTGTGATTTCTATTGGGGACAGTCACCAATAATAGTAGTAGTATGGTTAGTTACTTTTTATTTTTTCCTTCTTGTGATGCTGGGCTTTGCACATGGTAGGCAAGGGCTCTACCACTGAGGCACACCACCAGCCCATTAGTTATATTTTTAATTGAGAAAACACTAAATTTTAGTTATTAGAGAGGGAAAGAATAAAGACATAAATTTGTTGCAACCCAAGTTTATGGGCTTTTCCAAACTCTATCCCCAGACTCACCTGGAGGTCTGTGAAACTCAAAAACCTACATTAATAGAAGGTTTTTTCCTATCTTTCCTTCCTTCTTAAACAGCTTTCCTTTGGAAGATATAAGCCTGCGTTTTATTCTGGGTAATTGTTGTATGACTTCAAGGCAATTGGTTTGCCTCTCTGGACCATAGTCTTCTTTGCCTGAACGTGGGAAAGGCAAGAATTTGGAGAGTCTTTAATTATTTATGCCACAGTCAATTAATTTGTGTTCTCATTTAATCATCACAACATTGTGGGGAAAAGTAAATGTATTCCCATTTCACAGATGGTTAAACTGAGGGTACTAACGAGGTTGTCACTTGACCAATATCTCTGGAAGTTGTAGGGACCAGTGTGAGATGTCCATATTCCCATAACCACTTCAACCTCCATGAATGGAAATAGGAATTCTGCTCTCCTAGAGAGACATCTGTTTCAGAAATCCTTGCACGTAGGTGTGGAGCTTTGAGAAACTGGGGTTAAAATCGCGTCGCTTGGTAAAGCAATGCAAGGGCTAGGTGACTAACGGGAGAGTTGGGTGACTCATGCCTAGCCCGGCTTGGGGCTTCGCGCCTGCGTGTTCGCGGCTACACCCCCGTCCGCCCCCGGGCTCCACTAAGTCCTGCCGAATAGACCGGCAAAGGGCAATGAGAAGCACTCTCTTCCCGGCCAATCCTCTTAACGGATGGGTTAGGCTCGTAAACCAATCAAAGACCCCCGAAGGGGCGGAGTTTTCCTCGGCTTGGATCCCTGCCTGGGGGGTAAAAATAAAGTGTTTCCATTTTCAGCCAATCCCAGGGAAGGCAGAAGGCACTCTTCCAATGGGAGCCGAGGAGCCGTCGGTAGCGGTGGAGGCCTGTGACCCCGCTAGCTCCAGAGCCGGCAGGAGGGAAGCGTCCAGTATATTTGCGAGATCTTGCTGAGGGCCCCTGACATCTCTTCGCGCCTGGCAGCAGCGGCGCCGACGGCTAGAGGTGTCTGGTGAGAAGCCGTAAGGATGAGGGTGGTGGGGGAAGTAGAGGGGAGAAGAGGCCCGCCCAGAGCGCGTGAGGGGTGGGGCCTGGGCGAGCTTTTACCTGGGCGGCCTCTCAACCCTAGGTCAGCGGGTGGTGGAGGATCGTACGTACGGGTAGCCAAGGGAGGGCGAGTGCTCCTGAGATCCCCAGACGGCGCCCAGGTGAGTACCCTGCGGACCCCACCGCTGAGCCCACCCTCTGCTGATCCCAGTCCCTTGGGAAATGATTCTGTGTGGGTCTGCCGCTCACGTGATCGTCTGCGTACCTCTCTGTCTCCCTGTCTACCCCCACCCCACTGTTTCTGTCTGTCTCGCCCTCTGAGACATACTAGACAGCCCAGATATAAGAGGCAGAATCCTGACCCAATCAGTTAAAACTAGCTTTGAAACCTTGGGCTACTTTACTTATCTGGGTCTCAGTTTCATCATCTGTCTAATGGGGCCCTAATCATCTCTATTTGAGATAGTAATGCATGTGCATCACTTTGCCCAGCACCAGGCCCCTAGAAAAAATTCAATAAATAATGACTGTAGTAATTGAAAAGAATATTGTCTCTCTTGGTCTCTGTTTTCTCCTTATCTGTCTCTGAGCCTTGCCCATTGGGTCTTTTTTCTGAATGCTTCTGTCTTTCTGTTATTTTTCCTTTTTTAGCCTGTCTCTTCCCAGCCTCAAAGAGGTTAGAAGTGCCCTGTTTATAGCAGTGTGCTTGGCCTGAGGGCAGGGTAAAAAATGGAGCCTGGCCTTGAGATGCTCTGGTCTGTGAAGGAGAGAACCCTCTTTGTTTCCTGGCCTATTCTGTTAAACAGGTAGAAAGATCACGATTACAGGCACACACCTGTAGTCCCAGAGACTTGGGAGGCTGGGGCAGAAGGATCACAAGTTCAAAGCCAGCCTCAGAAATTTAAGGAGGTTCTAAGCAACTTAGCAAGACCCTGTCTCAGAATAAAAAATAATAATTAAAAAGGGCTGGGGATGTAGCTCAGTGGTAAAGTACCCCTGGGTTTAAACCTCAATACCCCTCCACACATAAAAAAAACCCTTCATCCTACATAACATTAGTCACCACAAGAAGCCTATGGATTTCCTGGTTACATCTCCATGCATCCCTGGGCAACCTCTTTTCTGTCCTTATCGGGAAGTCCTTCTACCAAGCCTTCTGAAACTCACCTTCAGGCATCAGCAACCCATTCCCCCATTCTCATCCTGGCTTTAGAATACTCCCTTCATTTTCTTGCCATATCTTGGTCTTTCTGAAACCTATTGTACCTACACTCTATAATGTATAATTTGAAATATTTGAAATGCCCCCTTCATTATTCTTAAGTGAAGTGCATACAAAGTAGAATCTGTCTGCACACATAATTCCCTCCCAACCAATATAATGTCCTAATTGTAATATAAGGCAGAAATAAAGAAAAATAGTTTAAAAGGAAACAATATGCATTTCAGTACATACAGGTTAGGATAGGACTCTACTAGAAGACATAATGAAATGGTCTTGCACATAATGATACTTGCACCTGTAAATGTGACAGCTACATGTGTATTGATTGGTGAAACCACAGGTAGGAGTGTGCAGTTTTCCTAAATGGTGAACAATTCTTTATAAACTTCTAAACAAAACAATCTTCCCTCAATTTATAAAGTCATTGAATTTCTGGAAATATTAATATATATTAAAATCCCTGATCTGTTCCCCCTAACCTCCCTGGCCTTATCTGCTACCACTCCCCCAACTCCTTGCTCTGTTTCACTCATTCTGGTCTCCTTAAAGGAAGATAATTGAACACATTAGGTATGTTTCTACCTTTGGGATTTTGTACTAGGCCTTTCCATGTACCTAGACACATTTCCATGTATCCCAAGTATCCACAAAGCTCAAGCCCTTACTTCTTTCAGGCCTCTACTCAGTTGTCACTTTCTCAGTTAGGGTTTACCTTGACCATCCGATCTAAAATTTCAGCTCCCTCCTATCACTAACCCTACTCTATTTTTTCCATAGTATTCTTTATCTTCTTAGATAATAGTCATGTGTCACTTAACAGTGGTGATACTTTCCAAGAAGTGTGTCGTTAGGCAATTTTGTCATTGTGCAAACATAAGAGAGTGTATTTATGCAAACTAACATGGCTATGATGTCCCTAGGTGATGTAATCTTATGGGACCACTGTCATATATATGGTCCTTAGTTGACTGTCATTATGCAGCACCTGACTGTATATTATTTACCTCTATTATATTTGTTGTTATTGTCTGACACTCATTTGTAAGCAACAGAAAGACAGCAGTTTTTGTCTTTTTTTGTTCCCTGATGTATCTGTATTACCTAAAACAATGCTTGGCACATAGTAGGCTCTCTCAATAAATGTTGGACAAATAAATAAATGAATGAACAGATTTTTATCAATATGATAGTCTGATACAACATTTTAAAGTTGTACGGTATGCAGAACACTTCTTTATTGTGTGGTATTATCTTGAGTATATCTCTGGTCTGTGCCCACTAAATGTCACTCATGATCTCTTACTTTTGTGATAATCAGAAGTACCCCCAAACACTCCTTGACTGTACACACTGAGAATCACTGTTTTAATGGAGATAGGACTTCTCCCTGAACACTCTGTTCCCCTAGTAGCTCTCATACCCTTCTTACTAGGAGGGTGGGAGGTGATGGTAGGTGTCCTTGCTGCTTATTTCTTATTTTTTGTGTGTGAGTGTGTGTGTATGTATGTATGTATGTTACTGGGGATTGAATCCAGGGATGCTTTACCACTGAGCCATAACCCCAGTCCCTTTTTTTTTTTTGAGACTAGGTCTTGATAAGTTGCTGAGGCTGACCTTGAAATTGCAGTCTTACTGCCTTAGCCTTCTGAATTGGGTGTCCTTGCTTCTAATTGTCTTTTCCAGACATTTTGTCTTCCTCTTCCTTAATCATTATTTGTTTGTTTGTTTTTACAATTTTTAAACTTTTCCAGACATTTTGTCTTCCTCTTCCTTAATCATTATTTGTTTGTTTGTTTTTATAATTTTTAAACTTTCAAATTTTAAAATAATTTCAGAAGAGTTCCCATATATTCTTCACTCGGATCCCCTAAAGGTTAAGAAATTATATAACTATAGTTTATGTATCAAAACGTAGAAAATTAGCCAGCTGCTTGGGAGGCTGAGGCAGAAGAATTGTGAATTCAAATCCAGCCTCAGCAACTTAGCGAGATGCTAAGCAACTCAGTGAGACCCTGTCTTTAACTAAAATACAAAAATGGGCTGGGGAGTGGCTCAGTATTTGAATGCCCCAGAGTTCAATACCAGTACCAAAAAGAAAAAAAAATAGAAAATTGGGCTGGGAATGTAGCTCATTGGTGTAGTGCCTGCCTAGCATGAGTAAGACCTTGAATTCAATCTCTGGTACTACAACAACAAAAAATTAGAAAATTAATATTGGTGCAGTACTACTAATAAAAGTATAGAACTTATTAGACTTTATCAGTTTTTCTACTAATATATATTTTTTTCTTGTAGGATCCAATTCATGATTCATCATTATGTCTCCTTAGGCTCTCCAATCTGGACCAGATCTTTAGTCTTTGTCTTTCATGACTTTGATAACTTTGAAGCATTCTGACCAGTTATTTTTATAGAATTTAGGTTTGTCTGAAGTTTAATTGTGATTCCAGTTATATAATTTTGGCAAGAATACCATAGAGGAGATGTTGGCTCTTGAGTGTGTCATATCAGGAGGCACCTGGTATCTTTTTTTCTTAATCTTAATATTGTTTCTTTTTGTTTAAGGTAAAGTCTGCCAGGTTTCTCCACTGTAGTTACAGCCATGCACCACATAATGATGTTTTGGTCAATGGTGGACACGGATATGACAGTGGTCTCATATGATTCAATTGACTAGTAATGTCATAGTTGTCTTAGTTCATGTAAGTACATTCTGTGATGTTCACACAACTATAAAATTGCCTGACAATACATTTCTCAGAACACATCTCCATTGTTAAGCAACATATAATTGTAATTTTTTTTTTTGCAGTGCTGGGAATGGAACCCAGAGCCTTGTGCATGCTAGTCCAGTGACCCACACCCTCAGCCATGTACTCTTTGTTCCTCTGTAATTAATAAGCGATCTATGTTGATATTCTTTGAGATTATACAACTATCAGTCACCCTGTTTAAATCTCAAATCATCAGACTCTACCATCCACTGTCCCTCTGTTATGGTCATGTGTAGACATACATACTTGCCCCCTTCCTCATTCCTAGAAATTGTTTAGCTATGAACTCAAGTTTGAACTCTGTATGATTTTAATATCCTCATAAATGATCCTTCTAATGATCCTTCTCATCTCTCATTTCTGTGACCAACTCTCCTATAGAGATCCTGCTTTTTGCCTGCACCTCAACCACCCATCCTAGCAATGTTATCTTTCTTCTTAGCAGTACCTGTGACTGTGTTTTCTCCATGATTTCAATTTCTAGCATCCTGCTATCTAACCAGTACTTCCTATCCTTCTAGCTCACTGCCTCTAGTCCCCCAATCCAGCAATCTTTCAACCCCACTGGGACCGAATGTTGTCACACTTTTGCTCCCATGTACCTTGTTTAATTAGGATAAATTCCACGGCTCACCATTAATTATAATTATTCTCTTGTATACAGCCTCATTTCCCTTGCCCCTCTCTTACTTCATCATACTTACCAGTCAAAACCCCATCCCTGGTTAAATCCAACTCTGCCTGTTCCCAAGCATTTCCCCAATCCATTCACTCTCCCACTTTCCAAGATGATGATTTCATACCTTCTTTCTCCTCAAAATTCCAACACAGCCTCTCCCATCATGTTCAGGCTTCCTATTTAACTGAAAAAGTAAAGGCATCAGAAGAAAACATCTGGGCTGCAACTGTGGCTCAGTGGCAGAGCAGTTGCCCCACATGTGCGAGGCACTGGGTTCCATCCTTGGCACCACATAAAAATGAAACAAAGAAATGCTGTCCATCTACAACTACAAAAAAGAAATAAAAAAGAAGAAAACATCCACCAATTTCCACTATCACATCCAACCACCATATAGCATCTGTACTCACATACTCTGCCTACTTCTCTATTATTTTGGATAATCTATTTATGCTGTCATCAAAATCCAGTTCTTTGGGCTAGGGGTATAGCTCAGTAGTAGAGCATGTGCTTTGCATGTATAAGGTCCTGGATTCAACCCCAGTGCACACCTTACACTTTGGCTCTAAATCTCACCCTCTTTTACCTACTTTAGGACATTGCTCTACCAATTTTCCCCTCTCTACAGGATCGCTGTCAGTGATTTGTAACCTAATCAGTGGATTAATTCACTGAGATGGGTTAACTGGGTGGTAACTGTAGACAGGTAGGGTATGGTTGGAGAAAGTATATCACTGGGGGTGTGCCTTTGGGGTTTATATTTTGTCCCTGATAAATGTCTCCTCTGCTTCCTGGTTGCCATGTTTTGAGCTACTTTCCTCTGCCAAGCCCTTCCACCATGATGATATTTTTGGGCCCAGAGCTATATGGAGTTGGCCGACCTTGGACTAAACTCCTAAAACTGTGAGCCAAAATAATATTTTTCTCATCTTAAAAAATCACTCTCATTAACACATAGATTTTTTTTATTGCTTCCTCCACAATTTTTCTCTCTCTTTTTTTTTTCTTTTTTAAGCACTGAGAATCAAACCCAGGGCCTCATCTGTGCTAAGCATGTACTCTTCCACTGAGCTACACCCCAGCCCGCTTCTATCTTTTTGTTACAACTTGATTGAGATGTACATACCATAAAATTTACCCTTATGAAGGTTACTGAACAGTGGTTTGTAGTATATGTATGGAGTTGTAAAATCATCACCATGATCAGTTTTAGAACGTTTTCATCCCTCTTCCCTGCCAGAGAAGCTTTCTACTTATTAGCATTCATCCCTCATTACTTTCCTTCTTCCCAGCCCTAGGCCACTACTAATATACTTTCTATCTCTATAGATTTGCCTGTTCTAGACATTTCATATAAATGCAGTCATATAATATATTGGGTTTTATTTCTGGCTTCTTTCACTTAGCATAATGTTATTGAGGTTCATCTATGTTGTTGCATATATCATTTCTTTATTGCCAAATAATGCCATGTTTATTCATGGCTCAGTTGACATTTTGATTATTTTCATGTTTGGCTATTATGAATAATGTTTCTCTGAACATTCATGTGCAAGTTTTGGGGTGGATTTATGTTTTCTTTTCTCTTGGGTAGAAGAGATGTGTCTTATAGCAACTCTGTGTTTAACTTTTTAAGAAACTACCAAACTGCAAAAGTGGCTACACATTTTGCATTCCCACTAGCAATATATGAGGTTCTCCATTTCTCCACCTTCTCACCAACACTTTTTATTGTCTTTTATTATACCCATCCTAATAGTATAAAGTAGAATTGCATTGTTTTGATTTTCATTCCCTTACTGACTAATTATTTTAAAATCCTGTTATATATTTTTGGCTATTTGTATATAATCTTTGAAGAAATATCTATTCAAATCTTTAGCTCATTTTCATTGGTATTGTTTCATTTTATGTTTGAGTTGTAAGAGTTCATTGTATATCTTGTCCCTTATCAAATATATGAATTCCAAGTATTTTCTTCCATTCTGTGGGTTATCTTTTCACTTTTTGGGTTGTGTCCTTTGATGCACAGAAGTTTCTAATTTTGGTGAAGTCCATTTTTTTTTCATCTGTCACTTGTGCTTTTAGTATTATATCTAAGAAATCATTGTCTAACTCAAGGTCACAAAGATTTATTACTGTTTTCCTCTAGGAATTTTATAGTTCTAGCTCTTACGTTTATGTTGATGATGCATTTTGAGTTAATTTTTCTGGGTAGTATAATATAAGAGTCTGTCTTCGTCTGTTTTGTATTGCTACAATACAATATTTATAAAGAAAAGGGGCTTTATATTTTGTAATTGAATAATTTATAAAGAAAAGCCTGGGAAGTTCAAGGTTGAGGAACTGTATCTGGTGAGGGCCTTCTTGCTGCATCATAACATGGCAAAAGTCATCACATGTGAGAGAGTGAGGGTATGAATATTGAAGTCTCTCTTCCTTTTCTTATAAAGCCACTGATCCCATCATGGGGCCTGACTCTCAGGACTTTATCTAACCCCAGTTACCTCTCAAAGACCTCACTTCCAAATACTATCAACATATGAACTTGAAGATTAAGTTACCAACACATAAACTTTGAGGGAACACATTCAAACCATTGCTTAGTCTACATTCACTCTTGTGATGTGACTATCTCGCTCTCAGCACTTTTTACTGATAAAAGTATTCTTTTCCTCACTGGATGATCTTTGCAACCTTGTCAAAAAATCACTTGGCTATATATCACAAATATAAAGGGAAATTTCTGGTTTCTAAATTCTATTTCATTGATCTGTAGGTCTTTTACTATACCAGACCATAATGTCTTATTTACTATAGCTATATAGAACATTTTGAAATAAGGAAGTAGGACTTCTTTAACATTGTTTTTCTTTTTCAAGATAGTTTTGGCTCTGCTAAGGCACTTTTATTTTTCCATATGAATTTTAGGATTAGCTTATCAATTTCTTTTTTTAAACGACTATAATTTCAATAGGGATTGTGTAGAATTTATATATCTGTGTGGGGAGTGTTGCCATTTAACAATATTCTCTTCTACTATATAAACATGGCATATCCTCTGTTTATTTAGAACTTCTTTAATTTCTTTCAGGAGTGTTATGTAGTTTTCATCATATAAGTTATGTACTTCTTTTGTTAAGTTATTACTAGGCATTGTATTCTTTTTGAGGCTATTATAAATAGGATTTTTTCTTTTTTTACTTTCTGATTGCTTATTGCTAATGTATAGAAATACATTTGATTTTTGTTTATTGTTCTATCATACATTGCTTAAAATGATTATTAGTTCAAATAATAATTTAGGTTTTTTACATAGAGAAAATCATGTAATTCTCACAAATTTGTGAAAACTCAGTAGTTCATCTCAAAGAAGAATGGTGTGGAATAGTTGTCCTTGGACATTGGAAAGGGCAGTGGGGATGGGGGCTGGAAATTAGTTTAATAAAGGGCACTATAACACAGAGAGGAGGAATTAGTTATGATTTTCTATAGCACAGTAACAACTATTGGTTAAAAAAATATATGGTATAATTCAAAATAACTAGAAGAGTATGGGGGTCAGGTGCATGCCTATAATACCAGCGACTCAGGAGGCTGAGGCAGGAGGTTTGCAAGTTTGAGGCCAGCCTCAGTAACTCAGCCCTAAGCCACTTAGTGAGATCCTGTCTCTAAATAAAAAATAAAAAGGGCTGGGGATGTGGCTCTGGGTTTCAGCACCTCTTGGGTTCAATCCCTGATACAAAAACAACAACAATAACAAAACTAGAAGAGTATAAAATTCACAACACATAAAAATGATTTTATAGAAATGCTTTGAAGAGATGGAAATGTTTACTACCCTGATTTGGTTATTTTACTTTGTGAATATGTATTGAATTACCATAGTATACCCCATAAAGATGTATAAATATTATGTCTCAATAAAAAGGTGTCATTTGTAAATATATATGGTCTTAATTTTTCCTTTCCTAAATAGATACCAAGTTTTTCCTTGACTAATTGCCCTGGTTAGACATTTTATTACAATTTTAAAAATATGTTTTAGTTGTTGATGGACCTTTATTTTTAGAATTATTTGTTTATCTGTGGTGCTGAGAATTGAATCCAGTTCCTTATATATACTAGGCAAGCACTCTACCACTGTCTTGCTTCTGATCTTAGGGGGGAAATATTGAGTCTTTCTCCTTTTCATACGATGTTAGCTGTGTGTCCTATGTTGATACCCTTTATCAGGTTGAGAAAGTTTCCTTCTATTCCTAATTTGTTGCATGTGTGTTGGATTTTGTCAAATGTTTTTTTCTGCAGCTATTAAAATGATCATGTATTTTATGCTTTATTTATATGGTATATTACATTAATTTTCAGATAAAAGCCCACCTGATCATGTTATATACAATTTTTATATGCTACTAGATTTCTTTTGCTAGTACTTTGTTGAGATTTTTACATCTATGTTCATAAAGGATATTATAAGGGATATTGGTCTATAGTTTTCTTATCATACAACCTACATGTATGATAGGTTGCATAGAATGATTTAGAAATTGTTTCATCCTCCTTTGTTTTTGGAATGGGTCTGTGAAGGATTTTTATTCACTTCATGTATGTCTTTTTTTTTTTTTAATACTGGAGATTGAACCCAGGGGTCCCTAACTACTGTGTACACTCCAGCCCCTTTTTATTTTTTATTTTAAGACAGGATCTCACTAAGTTGCTTAGGGCCTTGCTAAGTTGCTGAGATTGGTCTCAAGTCGCTGGTATCATACGTATGTTCCAAGGTGCCTGACTTCCTATATGTCTTACGTTGTTTGTGTTCATCTGTTCCCCAATTCCTCTCTTCTGTTGTGTTAAATAGATACTGTCTACTGTAAATTTTTAATTCCCCTTTTTAAAAAACTATTTTTAGTTGTGGATGAATATAACAACTTTATTTATTTATTAATTTTTTTTATAGTAGATGGACACAATACCTTTATTTTATTTTTATGTGATGCCAAGGCTTGAACCCAGTGCCTCACCCATGCAGGCAAGCACTCTACCAACTGAGTTACAACCTCAGCCTTATTTATTTATTTTTATGTGGTGCTGAGGATCAAACCCAATGCCTCACATGTGGTAGGCAAGCACTCTATCATTGAGCCACAACCCCAGCCCTTAATTCCCTTTTTAACTGTATTTTTAGCTCAGATTTTACTGAACACCCTGAGTATTACAATTAACATGATAACTTGTAAAAATCTACTTTGGATTAATAATAACTCAATTCAAATAGTATATAAAAACTTTGTGGGGCTGTGGTTGTGGCTCAGTGGTAGAATGTTTGCCTAGCAGACGTGAGGTACTGGGTTCGATCCTCAGCACCACATAAAAATGAAATAAAGATGTTGTGTCCACCTGTAACTAAAAAATAAATATTTTTTTTAAAAAAACTTTGTTTCAGTGTACCACTTTTCCTTCCCACCTCTATTGCATTATTGTCCTAAAAATCATCTTTTTATACATTATAAGCCAAATCAACAATTTTATTATTTTCATTTAAATAGTTATTTATTAATTTATTTTTATGTCTAAGTCCCCAGTACTTGGGATTGAACCTACAGGTGCTCTACCATTAAGCTACATCCCAAACCCTTAAAAATATTTATTGAGGGTCTCATCAAGTTGCCTAGGCTGGTCTTGAACTTGTAGTCCTCCTACCCCTGCCTCCTGAGTTGCTGGGATTACAAACATTCACCACCTTACCTGGCTATGCAGTTGTCTTTTAAGATAGAAAGGAAAATAAAAGTTACAAACAAAAATACTTTCCTTTGTAATACTGTATAGTTACCTTCAAGTTAACAGCCAATTTTTTTTTTTTTTTGGTACCAGGGATTGAACCCTTAACCACTGACCCACATCTCCATCCACAGCCATATATATATATATATATACACATACACACACACATACATACACACACACACACATACATACATATACATATACACATATATACACACACACATACATAGATATTTAAAATTTTTTAGTTATAGGTAGACACAATATCTTTATTTTATTTTTATGTGGTAGCTGAGGATCAAACCCAATACCTCATGCATGCTAGGCGAGCACTTCTACCTCTGAGCCACAACCCCAGCCCCACTTTTTTATATTTTATCTAGAGACAGGATCTGTCTAAGTTGCTTAGAGCCTCACTAAATTGCTGAAGCTGGCTTTGAACTTGAAATCATCCTGCCTCAGCCTCCTGAGCCACAGGTATTATAGGTGTGTTCACCACCATACCCTGCATATTTAGTCAACTTTAATTTCAACCTGAAAGTCTTTCTTTTTTTTTTTTTGTACCAGGGAATGTACCCAGGGACGCTTTACCACTGAGCCACATCCCCATCCCTTTTTTTTGTATTTTATTTAGAGACAAGGTCTCCCTGAATTGCTGAGGCTGGCTTTGAACTTGGGATCCTCCTGCTTCAACCTCCCAAGCCTCTGGGATTACAGCTGTGTGTCACCATGCCCAGTTCTGACAGTGTTTCTTGTAGAATAAGTTTGCTAGGAACAAATTCTCTCACTTTTTCTTTATCCTAACTTCTCTTTCTTTTTCAAAGGACAGCAATGCTGGATAGAGAATTAATAATTGACAGTCTTTTTGTTACATCATTTTGAAGATGTCATCACACCATCTTCTGACCTCCATGGTATCTGATGAGGAAACAAACTTATTGAAAGTCCCTTGTATGTGTAAGTCATTTTCTCTTACTTCTTTCAAGATTTTCTTTTACCTCTGACTTTCATCAGTCTCACCATGATATTTCTAGATATAAATCTCTTTGAGTTTTTTCTCTTTGAACTCCTTAAATGTGTAGATTAATATTTTTCATTAAATTTGGTAACTTTTACCCCTTTCTCTTCCTCTTCCTTTGGGACCCCATTATGTATGTGTTATATTTGATGGTGTCCCACAGGTTTGTGATGATCCATTTCTCTTTCCTTTTAACTTTCAGATTCTTAGAGTGGATAATTTCTATTAACCTATTATTAGGTTTACCCTTTCTCCTCCCATCTCAAATCTCTCACTGAGTCCCTCTAGTGAAGTATTCATTTTGGATATTGTACTTTTCAATTTTATTATATTTTAAATTGTCACTTTATTGGTATTCCTCATTTGCTGAGATATTGTTCTAATACTCTAATTCTTTAGATATAGTTTTTATTTCATTGAAAATATTTATAATAGCTAAAGTCTTTGTCTTTTAAGTCCTAAACATGGGCCCTCTCAGGATCATATTTCATTGGCTGCCTTTTGTCCTGTGTGTCATACTTTCCTGTTTCTTTGTGTGTCTCGTAATTTCTTTTTTGTCAAAAATTGGACATTGTATATGGGCTTGGGCTGTGGCTCAGTGGCGGAGTGCTGGTCTAGCATGTGTGAGGCACTGGGTTCAATCCTTAGCATCACCTAAAAACAAATAAAATAGGGGCTGGGGCTGGGGTTCAGTGATAGAGTGCTCGACTGGCACATGTAAGGCACTGGTTTTGATCCTCAGCACCACATAAAAATAAAATAAAGATATTGTGTCCACATACAACTAAAAAAATATATGTATTAAAAAAGCAAATTTAGGCATTCTGTTCATCTATAACTACAAATTTTTTTTTAAATTGGACATTGTAGATACTCTGCTTTAACACTTCTAGTATCACTCTTTCACTCTCAAGATTGTGGGGTTTTTTTTCTTTTTCAATATTGGAGATTGAACCATGCAGGCACTTTCTATCACTGAGCTATAGCTCAGGCATTTTTAAAATTTTTTGAGGCAGTGTCTCACAAATTTGCCAAGGCTGGCCTCAAACTTGAAATCCTCCTGCCTTAGGCTCCCAAGTAGCTGGGATTAAAGGCATGCACCACCACATCTGGTTACTACCCTTGAGGTTTTGTTGTTGTTTAAAACAATAACGTTTTGCTAACTTGCTAACAACATCCTGCTAACTTGCCCAGGCCTCTAACTTGTGATCTTCTTCCTCAGACTCCTGAGTATATGAGATTACTGGTATACCACTATGCCCAGCTATTGTTCTTTTTTATTATTAAATTTATTTATATTTAGTTGACCAATAAAAATTATATATTTTGATCATTTGTTTCAAAATATACATGTACCGTGGAATAGCTAAATCAATTTAATTAATATATGCATTGCTTCACATACTTTTTTGTTGTTGAAAACCCTTACAATATATTATCCTCTTAGCAATTTTCAAACCTACAATACATTATTATTAACTAAAGTTGATGTATTTCCTGCATCTATGGAGATATCTTATGGTTTTTGTCCTTCTCTTTGTTAATATGGTAGATATGCATGTGTTGAGAATATCCTTGCATCCCTGGGATAAGTCCTACTTGATCATGGTTAGTGATCCATTTAATGTACTATTAAATTTGGTTTGATAATATTTTGAGTAGTATTTTTTCATCTATTTTCTTCAAGATATCAGCCTATAATTGTCATTTCTTGTAATGTCCTTATCTGATTTTGGTATCAAGACAATGCTGGCCTCAAAATGAGTTTGGATAAACTCCTTCTTCAGTGTTTTAGAAGAGCCTGAAAAGGATTGGTATTAGTTCTTTAAGTATTTGGTAGTATTCAGTAGTGAAGCCATTGGGTCCTGAGCTTTTCTTTGATGAGAGACTTTTTAAAAATTTTCTTTTTGGTACCGGAAATTGAACTCAGGGGTACTCGACCACTGAGGCACATCCCTGGCCCTATTTTGTATTTTATTTAGAGACAGGGTCTCACTGAGTTGCTTAGTGCCTCACAGTTGCTGAGGCTGCCTTTGAACTAGCAATTCTCCTGTCTCAGCCTCCCAAGCTGCTGGAATTACAGGAGTGCCACTGTGCCAAATGACAGACTATTTTTTAATGGATTCAATCTCTTTACTCACTATTGGTTGGTTTAGAATTTCTATTTATTTATAATTCTTCCTTAACAGTTTGTATATGTCTAAGAATTTCTATGTTTCTTCTAGGTTATGTAATTTGTTGATGTACAGGTGTTCATATTAGTCTCCTATATCTGTTGTGATTCTATGGCATCAGTTGTAAGGTCTCATCTTTCATTTATGATTTTGTTTGGGATCTCTCTTTTTTCCTTAATCTAGCTAAAGATTTGTTGATTTTGTTTATTTTTTTTAAAAGTATAACTCAATTTTGTTGATTTTTTTTCTATTTTTTGTAGCTCTTCTTCATTTATTTATGCACAGATATTTAATATTGCCTTCCTTCTATTAACTTTAGATTTAGTTTGCTCTTCTTTTTCTAGTTTCTTGAGGTATAATGTTAGGCTGTTGGATATCTTTCTTCTTTTATCATGTAGATATTTATTGCAATTCACTTCCATCTTAGAAGTGCTTTTGCTGCACATCGTAAGTTTTGGTATGTTGTATGTCCATGTTCATTTTCCTCAAGATATTTTACATTTTCTCTTTTAATTTCTTCTTTGGCCCATTGGTTATTCAGGTGTATATTGTTTCATTTCCACATATTTGTGAATTTTCTGAAATTCTTTCTGTTATTGATTTCTGTTTCATACCATTGTGGTTGGAAAAGGCATTTGATGATTTCAGTTTTTTAAAATGTATTAAGACTTGTTTTGTGGCCTAGCATATGATCTGTCTTGGAGAATGTTCCATGTGTGTTTGAAAAGATTGTGTATTCTGCTGCTGTTGGATAGAATATCCTGCATAAATCTGTTGGGTTCATTTGGTCTTATGTGTAGTTTAAGGCCAATGTATCCTTATTGGTTTTCTGTCTGGATGATCTGTTCAGATAGAAAGTGGCTTATCAGAGTCCCCTCTTATTACTGCATTACAGTTTGTCTCACTCTTCAGATCTGTTGATAGATTTGCTTTGTATATTTAAGTGCTCCATTGTTGGGTACACATAATGTTTACCATGGTTATATCCTCCGGAGGAATTGGCCCTTTTATCATTATGTATTGACCTTCTTACCTCTTTTTATAGTTTTAAAGTCTATTTTATCAGACGAAGTGTAGCTACCCCTACTCTCTTTTGGTTTCCATTCACATGTAATATATTTTCATATATTGTCTCTTTCAGTCTATGTGTGTCATTAAAGGTAAACTGAGTCTCTTGTAGGCAGCACATAGTTGAGTCTTGTTTTATGGTCCATGCAGCCACTCTATGCCTTTGGACTGCAGAATTTAATCCATTTAAATCCAGGTAATTATTGGTAGGAAAGGACTTATTACTGTCATTTTGTTAATTGTTTTCTGGTTGTTTTGTAGATCTTTTCATCCTCTCTTCCTCACTTGCTGTCTTCCTGTGTGATTAGGTGATTTCTTCTAGTGGTATCCTTTGATGCTTTATTTTTTGTAGTATCTCCTATAGGTTTTTGCTTTCTGGTTACCATGAGGCTTACATAAAATATATTTATAAGAGGCTATTTTAGACTGATAACAACTTCGATTGCATTAAGAAACTTCACAGGGCTGGGGTTGTGGCTCAGTGGTAGAACACTTACTAGCATACGTGAGGCACTGGATTCAATCCCCAATACCACATAAAAATAAAATAAAATAAAGGCATCATGTCCATCTACAACTAAAAATATATTTTAAAAACTGAAACTCCACACTTCTCGGTGAACACCTGTAATCCCAGTAACTCTGAGGCTGAGACAGGAGGATCACAGTTCAAGGCCAACCTTACCAACTTAGCGACTGAGCAACTTAATGAGACCCTGTGTCAAAACAAAAAAATAAAAAATAAAAAAAAGGTTGAGGATGTAGCTCAGTGGTAAAGACCCCAGAGCCAAAAGAAAAAGAAGAAAGAAAAAGAAACTTCACATTTATCTGATGTAGCTCAGTGGTAAAGACCCCAGAGCCAAAAGAAAAAGAAGAAAGAAAAAGAAACTTCACATTTATCTGATAGTTCAAACCTGTAATCCCAACTACATGGGAGGCTGAGGCAGGAGGATCACAAATTCAAGGCCAGCCTCAGCAATTTAGTGAAACCCTACCTCAAAATAAGAATAAAAATTTCTAAAATAAAAAAAAAAGTTTAAAAGGTGGTGATGTGGCTCAGTGGAGGAGTGCCTTGGGTTTCAGTACTACAAAATAAGAAGAGGGAGAAGGAGAAAAAAAGAAGCTCCACACTTTCACTTCACCCCATCACACACGACATTTTATGTCTTTTGATCTCATGATTTACATCATTTTATATTGTGTTTCCATTAACAAATTATGGTAGCTATCATTATTTTTAATAGTTTCCTCTCATTCTAAAGATGTCATGTACACACTTCCATTGTAGTATTAGGGTGTTCTGAATTTGACTGTGTACTTATTGTTACCGGTGAGTTTTATGATTTCTTTATGTTTTCATGTTACTAATTAGCATCCTTTTCTTTCAACTTGAGGAATTCCCTTTTGCATTTCCTGTATGACAAGTCTGGGTTATGAAATACCTCAACTTTTGTTCGTCTGGGAAAGTCTTACATTTCTTCTTCATTTTCAAAGGATAGCTTTGCCAGGTAAAATATTCTTTGTTGACAGTTTTCTTCCTTCAGCGCATTAAAATATCATTCCACTCTTTACTGGCCTATAAGAATTCTGCTGAGGAATTTGATGCTAGCCTTATAACTCTCTTACATGTTATTTGCTTCTTTCTTTTCTGCTTTCAGAATCTTCTCTTTCTTCTTGACATCTGACAGTCCAATTATAATATGTCCTTTTGTAGCTATGTTTTTATTGAATCTGATTGGAGACCTTTGACTTTCCTATACAGAGATAGTTATATCTTTTTTAAAATTTAGAAAGTTTTCAGCTATTATTTCTTTTGATAAACTTTCTTTTCCTTTATCTATCTCTTCTCTTTCATGAATTTCTATTCAAATATTTATTTGCTCCTTTGATGCTTCTCCATATACCCCATAAGCTTCTTCATTCTTTTTCTTTTTCTTTCTTTCTTTTTGTCTTTTAAACTGGGAATCTAACCCAGGGGTGCTTTACCATGAGCTACATCCTCAGCCTTTTTTTAATTTTTATTTTGAAATGGGGTCTTACTAAGTTGCGGAGGGTCTTACCAAGTTGCTGACGCTGGCTTCAGATTTGGCAATCCTCCTTTCTCAGTCTCCCAAATTGCTAGGATTACAGGTGTGCTGCCACCATGCCCAGCTTCTTCATTCCTTTTCATTATTTTTTCTCCTCAGTATATATTTTCAAATAACCTGCCTTCAAGTTTGTATGTTCTTTCTTCTGCTTGATCAGTTGTGCTATTAATGATCTGTTGCCTTTTTCTCTACATTCAATGTCTTTTTCAGCTCTGTGATTTTTTTATAATTACAACCTCTCTAATAATTTTCTCTTCTTGATTTTTTATTATTTTATTGCTATATTGGATTATTTTTGTGTTTTCTTGGATTTCACTAAAACAATTATTTTGAATTATTTTTTCAGACAGATTTTTTTTTTAGATTTTGGTATTGGTGCTTTATTTTATTCCTCTGGTAGTAGTGTATTTCCTTGATTAATATTATTTGGGGGGGCGGGGGTTACTGGCAATTTAACCCCAGAGTAATTTACCACTGATCTACATTCCCAGCCCTTTTTATTTTTTATTTTGAGATAGGGTCTTATTAAGTTGGTTAGGGCTTTTCTAAGTTGCTGAAGCTGGCCTTGAACTTGTGATCCTCCTGTCTCAGCCTCCCAGCTGCATGGATTATAGGCATACACCACTGCATCCAGCTCCCTGGTTATTTTTTATAATTATTACTGTACTTCAGTTTCTATGCATTTGAAGAGGTAGGGACTTATTCCAGAATTTGCAAAAGTGACACTGTCTGTAAAAGGCCTTTACTAGTCAGTGTGGGCTATGGGCAGGCTTGGTGCTGCAGTCCTTGGTCAGGCTATCCTAGTGTTTGAACTGGAGCCTGGATATAATGGGGTTGACCTATTGATTGGATCTATGGGGGTGGGCCTGGAACCTGGGTCCACAAGGGCATTCCTAGAGTCTGTATTCTTGGGGTTAGCCTAAAATCTGGGTTCATAGGGTCTGACCTGGTACTGAGGTGAGCCATGAGCCTAAGTCTAGCCAGACTCTGGGATAGGCCTGGTCCCTAGATTCACTGGTTTTGCCTGAAGCCTGAGTCCAAAGGGGCTACCCTGGTACTGGGAAAGTCTGGAGCCTGAATCCATGGGGCAGGAGACTTGGGTCTTGGGTTCATGGGAGCTAGCCTGGAGCCTGGGTCTACAGAGGTGGTCCTGGAGCCTTGATCTATAGGGGCCGGCCAAGCATTAATGTCTATTGGGGTGGGCCTTGATCCTGTGTTAAGCAGGCTTGGACTCTGGGTCCAGTGTAGCCTTAAGCCATAGGATCAGCCTGGAGCCTGGGTAGGCCTGGTGCTAGGGAAGGTGTGAAGCCTCGATCCAAAGGAGCCATCCCTGCATTGGGCTCTACTGGGATGGACCTGAATTCCACATATGCTAGAATAAGCTTGGACTGTGGTTCTGCTTAAATGTAGAGCCACAGAACCAGCCTCCCATGGACAAGCCTAGAGCCTGTGTCTCCAGTTGCAAGCCTGCTACCTGAGGCCAGGGGGGCTGACCTCATGCTGAGGTAGGCCTGCAGCATGGGGTTATGTGGGCCAACCTTTCTGTGCTGGTCTGGAACCTGTGGTGGGTCTGGACCCTGAGGCCATGGACATTAGAGGTTAACCTGGTCCAGGGTCTGGCCTGCAGGTTGGGTTGTCAGGGAGTAGCTGTAATGCTAGGGCTATGGAGGCTGGCCCAGTGCTAGGATGGGCCTAAAGCCTGAGGCCCAGGGCTACTGGGGAAGGACTGGCTATGGAGAAGGCCAATAGCCTGAGTATATGGGAGCTAGCCTGGAACTTGAGCCATTTATGAGCCTGGGGTCAGCCTGGTGCTTGGATCGGCCTACAGACTGAGTCTACCAGGTAGTCTTAGAGCCTGGAACTCCAGGGAATCTGTCCTGGTATCAGGGTTGGCCTTGAGTATCAGTCTGAAGGTACTGGCCTAGAATCTGGGACTATGGATGGTTACCTAGAACTGGGTTTTACTTGAATGGACCCAGTTTTGGTGTCCAAGACAAATTTCAGTTCTCAGTTCCCTCTTCTTTCCCCTCATGGTTAGCTATCTTTCTCTATACTGTGTTGTCTGAGTTTGTGGGAGGGGGTGAGTGGATAATTTGGAACTGTTCTTTTTGCCTTCTTCAATATGTCTTTTCTTATTTCTGTGCTACACCCAGGTGCTGTAATCTCTCACCTGGTTTCCTTAGCTCTAGTGAAGGTATTTTCATGCGTGGATAGTTCAAATTGATGTTTCTACGGGGGGACAAGTGCTGGAAAGCCCTATTCTGCCATCTTGCTGACGTCCGGACTCCCAAGGTTTGTTGTTTTGCTTTAGCTTTTGTTGCTGTTGTGGTTGTGATTATTGTTCTTGGTGTCATGTATCTGTTTATTGACTTTCCTGGATTAATTCTGTAGATTCTGTATTCCCTACTTTATAATAAGTGGCCCCTGAGTTTTCTGCTAGCTTGTATTTTTAAAGTTCTTGTTTTTATTTTTAAGCCTAGATTCCTAAGAGTCACACCAGGGTAAATATATATTGTTGGTCAGCCAATGATTGGTCAGAAGATCTCCTTCAATGCCTTGCCTGTATGTCTTACATCCTTTGCCATGAAGATGTGTATAAGAAAACATACTTTCAAATTTCAACCATTTACAAGACCATCTGAGCTTTCAACTTCTGCTTGTACAGGGCTTTACAGTCAACCAGAAGGAGGTGACTTAGATCCTCTTCTTTCCCAAGTTTTTCCCAGGTATACACATAACCTTTGAGTATATGCATAGCCCCTTAGATCCCTAGGAGTACAGTAAGTTCCCTATGGTTGTCTCATTCTCCAGAATTTCCTTTTAAATTCCCAAAGTAGTTAGATCTCTCTATTGTGTGGAATTTGGTTACATTTTGGCTTCTACACCACTGAGCTGAAAGCTGGGAGAGAAAGGGAGAGAGTATGGGGAGTGTAGAAAGGGACTAGTCACAAGTAAAATGTCACAAAGCCTACTGTCTTACCAAGATTCAGTAATCTCTCTTGGATATATGATTTTCATTGCATTCTGTGGTTTTAGTTAATTGCCAGAGTTCTGAAATTGATTTCAGTTGATTTGCCCATATTATCATTGTTTTAGAGGGAAAGTGAGTTCATCAAAGTCCCTCCTGTTGTTCTTATCTCAAAAGAACTTTTTAAACCCACTTCATCTCATATCCCCTTGAAATCATAACTTTATTTCTGAGTTCCCCTAAGAGCGAAACTCTTCAAAAGAGTTTTTTTAAAAAATATTTTTCTAGCTGTTTATAGACTTTTATTTTATTTCTTTATATGTGGTGCCGAGAATCAAACCCAGTGCCTCACACATGCCAGGCAAGCGCACTACTGCTGAGCCACAACCCCAGCCCTTCAAATGAGTTTTTACTTCCTCTTACTCTTCTCTCTGTTTATTCATGTAAAATATATTAGATATGCTGGGCATGGTGGCACATGCCTGTAATCCTAGCCACTCAGAAAGTTGAGGCAGTAGGATTGCACGTAGGAGGCCAGCCTGGACAACTTAGTGAGACCCTGTCTCAAAATTAAAAATAAAAAAGTGCTAAAGATGTGTCTCAGTGGTAGAACACCCTGGGATTCAATCCCCAGTACTGTAAACAAATGAATAAAATGTAGATATATGATGAAAGAATATATATTGTACATATGAGTTATAGTAGTATTATGAAAACTCAGGGACTCACTACCCCACCCAAGAACAGCATTAATGATAGCATCTACCCTTGTCATTTTCTATCTCATCTCCCTGTGTGTCCTTCCCATTAAAATTTCCCACTTTTTTAAGTTTTTTTTTTTTTGGTACTGAGGAATGAATCTGGAGTGTTAAACCACTGAGCTACATCCCCACCCCTTTTTATTTTTTATTTTGAAGCAAGGTCTTGCTAGGTTGCTAGGGCCTTGTTAAGTTACCAAGGCTGGTCTCAAACTTGCAATCCTCCTGCCTCAGACTCCCAAGTCATCCTTAAGTCTTGTGTTTAGCATTCCCTTGCTTTTTTTCATATATGAGGGGTTTTGTTTTTCATATTTGTGGGTAAGCTTAACCAATACATTGTTTATTTGACTTAGTTGTGAGCTTTCTTAAAATGGTTTCATAGTGGGGTTGGGGATATGGCTCAGTGGTAGAGTGCTTCTCTAGCATGCACAAGGCCCTGGGATCAATCCTCAGCACTGCGAAAGAAAGAAAGAAAGAAAGAAAGAAAGAGAGAGAGAGAGAGAGAGAGAGAGAGAGAGAGAGAGAGAGAGAGAAAGAAATCATTAAAGTAAAATGGTTTCATAGTGTATGTAGTTTTCTGTGACTTGCTTTTTCACTTAGTATTATGTTTCTGTGATTCATTTCTGTTGTTCCATATAGCTGTACTTTGTTCATTTATCAATGTATCACATTTCTTAGGGTGGTCATAAAAAAAGTTATTTGCCCATTTATCTATTATGGACACTTGGGTCATTTCTAGTGCTGCTGTGAACATTCTTGTACAGGTCTCCTGCTTTACATGCATACCCATTTATCTATCCCTAGGAATGGAATTTCTGGCTAATAGGACATGTAAAAGTTCAGTTTGACAGGATTATGCCTGATGACACCAATTTACACTCCTTTTAGCAATCTACAAGAGACCCCATTGATCCATACCTTCATATACTTGATGTTGCCCCACTTATTTTTTGTCATTTTAGTGAGTATAAAATATTTCACTGTGGACTTAATTAGCATTTTCCCAGTTATTGATGTAGTTGAGCATCTTTTCATGGTTATTGGAGATACGGTTACTTTTTTTGTTAAAGGACAATTGGTATCTTTTGTGCCTTTAAAATTTTAACCAGTTGTATTGATTTATAGGTTTGTTTTTTTTTTTTTTGGTACTAGAGATTGAACCCAAGGGTGCTTAACCATTGAGCCACATTCCCAACCCTTTTTAAAAATAGTTTATTTAGAGATGGGGTCTCGCTAAGTTGCTTAGGGCCTCACTAAGTGGCTGAGGCTGGCTTTGAACTCAAAATCCACCTGCTTTAGCCTCTCAAGTCACTGGGATTACAGGCGTGCACCATCATGTCTGGCAATTTGTAGGAAATCTTTATTTTAGATATTCATCGTTTATCATGTATATGTATCAATGTATCAAATATCTTCTTAAAGTTTGTGATTTTGTTCTTTTGTGTGTGTGTGGTACTGGTGATTGAACCCAGGGGTATTTTACCACTGAACTACATCTCTAGGCCTTATTATTTTGAGACAGCATCTCACTAAGTTGTTGATGCCGGCATCCAACTTGTGTTCTCTTGCTTCATCCTCCCAGGTCGCTGGGATTGCAGGTGGGTGCCTTTGCACCTAACAGCTTTTTTTCTTTATTATATCTTTGCATGACCAGAAATTCTTATTTTCTAGTTGAGTTGAATGAATCCACCTTTTCCCTTTTATAGCCAGCACTTTGTCTTGTCTTCTCTGACCAACAGTCATATTACATACTCTTTGTTCTAATAAAGGTTTACCTTTTATATTTAAGTCCTGAATCCAACTGGAATTGATTTTTGTGTGGGTATAAGGTATGGAGCTATTTATTTTATTTTCTAAATGGATAAACTAATGATCTGAAGTGCCACTTCTTTCATACATCAAAGTTCTTTATCTCTATAGGTCTGTCTCTGGGCTTTCTTTGCTATTGACCAGACTTTTGTCCTCGAACCAGTACTGCACTACCTTAATTACTTAGCTCCCTTATAAATCTTGATATTTAATAGCACAAAATCTTCCCATCTTATTTTTCTTCAAGAGTATCATATATCCTTGGCACTTTTTATTTCAAACACTTCAGAATCAGTTTATCATGTTCTATAGAAACTTTGGAATTGTGATGAATCTACAGATCAGTTTGAGGAAAATTTATAAGTTTATGATGTTGCATCTTCTTAGCTATGAACAGAATATATCCCTCTATTTTAAATAAATTCTTGAATATCTTTTGTCTGAGCTTTGTAATTTTCTTCATAAGATCTTGCATATCTTAAATTAGATTTACCCCTTCTTACTTTATGAGTTTTCTGCTTTTATGAATGGGATATTTTTATTTAATATTATATCCATTTTTCAGGCATATGGAAATGAGTCAATTTTTGTTGATTGTTATTATTAGTGTTCATCTTACAAAGTTCTATTATTTTTAAGCAAGTTTTTAATTTTCGAGTAAGTTTAGATTTGTAGAAAAATAAGTAGAGAGATAGTATGGAGAGAGAGTTTCTATATACTCCTTACTATGGTACATTTATCAAACTAAGAAAACAACATAGATATATTACTGTTAACTAAACATCAGGCTTTACATGGATTTATCAGTTTTCCCATAAATATCTTTTTTGTTCTGTTCCAGAGTCTAATTCAAAATACCACATTGTATTTCATTTTTATATCTCCATAATGTTCTCTAGTCTATGACAGTTTCTCATTCTACCCTTGTTCTAGATGATTTTTAATAGTTTTGAAGATACTGTCCTTTGCATAGAATGTCCCTCAATTTGGAGTTGTCTCAAGTTTAAATGAATACCACAGAGTTTAAATGTCCTTCTTATCCCACCATATCAGGGAGTATATAGTATTCACAGGATATCCCCTGGTGATGTGAACTTTGATCCCTTAGTTAAGGTGGTTTTGGTCAGATTTCCCCATGGGAAAGTTGCTGTTTTTCCCTTTTAGCATTCTGTTCTTTGGGTGAATCTAGACTGCCTTCAAGGAGAGGAGGAGGAACTAAGCTCCAGTTTCTGAGGAGGGCATATCTGTACATATTATTTGGAATTCTTTTATAAACATTTATCTCTTATCCTTTATTTTTCCAGTCACTTATTTATATCAGTATGATATTATGTATATTTATTTAATAATTTAAGTTAATAACCCAATACTGTGTTCTTTGTTTTGTTGCTCAGTTTGTTCCAGCTTTACCCACTGAGGACTCTTTCAGGTCTGGCTTCTTTGACATGTCCTCATTCTTTGTTTTTGAGAACTTCCTTACTTTTTGGCACTACAAGATGCATCAGATTCATGTTGTATTTTCCTATTCCAATCCTTCAATCAGCCATTTCTCCAAAGAGCTCTGTTTACTTTTAAATTGTCCATTCTTTTGTGTTTTATATGATGACAGTTTATCAGCTATAAATAATGAAAACATTTTTTTCCATTCCATTTTTTTGCCTTTTGTTTATTTTTCTTGTCTTATTGAGATGGCCAAGATATCCAGTACAGTAATGAATAGAAAAGGTGATAGTTGGCATCTCCATCTTATGTATTTTAGTGAAAACACCACTTTTTCCTATTAACAATGATATTTGCTGTAGGTTTCTATAGGTTTTATCAGGTTAGATAAATTCTATCCTATTGCTCTAAGAAGGTTTTTATTTTTTAAATCATGAAAGTGTATTAAGTTTTTTCATCAAATGTTTTCTTCTTTTTCTTTAGATGATTATGGATTTTTCCTCCAATAATCTAAAAATCTGGCAAATAATATTTGTAGATTTCCTTCATTCTGGAACTTTGCAATTCTATTATAAACATAACTTGGTCATGATCTTTTCCTTTTTATACAACAGTGGATTTTGTTTGCTAATAGTTTGTTTAGTATTTTTGCATCTGTGTTTGTGAGTAAAATTGGTCCTTAATTTTCCTTTCTCTTGCTGTTCTGACTTGCTGTTGGCATTAAGATTCTTCTGGTATCATAAAATGAGCCAGAGTTCCTTCTTTTACAACATTTTGGAAGAATGTTTTTGGCCTAATGTTTTCCTTTTGAATATTGAGTTACTATTAAACTTCTAAATTAAAATCTGTAGAAAATTTAATGAAAAACGTTTTGCTTCCATAAAATGTTTATTTTATATAAGCTACCCCCAAATCCAAACCAAGACTTTGTAACGACTGTTCAGAATTTGAAGAACACATAATCATCATCAACAACAACAACAAAAAATCTTTTTTGTACCAGTAGGTGTTAAAATATTTAACACCATTTTTTAAAGTGTTCAAAGGTGTTTAACAGTTGAAATTATATGTAACAGCTTTTCTTTTTCACTGATATATATATATATATATTGTTAAATTTTCTTATGATAATATGAGTAGATTTCAAAGCCAGTTGATCTCTCTCTTATTTAACTATTGCAAAATAATGATGAAGCTCTTATTTGCAGAACATGCATCATTATTAGAATCATCACCCTGCAGCTAGCTTGGACATCATTAGAAGGGCAACAAACGGATAGAAGTATCTGATATTCGGGAAGACAGAGTTTCAGGGCTTCTACCTGGAGCTACACCCTCCAGAAGTCCCTGCTTGGCCACCCCGCACCCAGCCCCATCCTAACCAGTCACAACTTGGGCTCTGCATGGTGCTTCTTGGAAACTGCAACACAGACTCCTCCAGCAGCTCCACATGTCCCTTGTCCTCAAATGAGCAGAAGACTTCAGAAGCTGGCTACTGAAGAGGCTGTCCAAGTGATAGATCACCTCCTTGGCCCTGCTTAGCACATTTACCACAGAGCAGTAACTGAAAGCTGGATGTTGCTTATTTGTGCTTACCACCTGCAGGGACTGCAGAGGGATTTGTCAGACCCCACTTCACTAAGGGCCACTCTCTAAGGATCTCCAGAGAAGGCTAGGATCTCCAGAGAGGTGGTCTTCCTAGGGTCTGCACTGCCTCAGGTCCTACCTGGCTACCTCTAGGGCTGAGGGAACCAGTATCTCTTTACCAGCCTGTAATCCATAAACCAACTGGAAAATTCTGCCTGCTGTTTTTGTTCTTTTGGTATGAAAGAGTTTTAATATACTGCTTCAGTTTCTTAAGTAGTTATAGGACTGTTGAGAATTTCTTTTTCTTCTTGAGTCAATTTTGGTAAAATAGTTTCCTAGGAATTTGTCCATTTTTGTCTACGTTTTTGAATTCATTAGCACACGGTTCCTTTATTTTTTTTAATTCTCTGTATATAATCTGTAGCTATGTCTCCTTTTTCATTGCTAATATTGGTTATTTGTGCCTTCTCACTTTTTTTCTTGATCAATCTCACCAGAGGTTTGTCTATTTTATTAGTATTTTCAAAGAACCAGCTTTTGGCTTTGTTGCTTCTCTCTATTGTATCTTTGTTTTCTATTTCTTTAATTTCTGCTCTTATCTTTTTTGATCTCCTTCCTTCCACATTTTTTGGGTTTATTCTGTTATTCTTTTTCTGATTTCTTAAATTGCACATTTGAGCTCATTAATTTTCAATCTTTCTTGTTTACTAATTTGTGCATTTAAGGATGTGAATTTCCCTCCAAATACTGTTTTTCTACAAGTTCAGATATGTAGTATTTTCATTTCTGTTCAGTTCTGAGTACATGAACATTTCCATCACCGTTACTTCTTTGATCCACGAGCTATAGAAGTGTGTTTTTAAATTCCTTAAATGTTTGGAGATTTAAAATTTTACCTCTTTGTTATTGAAATCTCTCTTAATTGCTTTATGATCAGATGATGTGGTCTGTGTGCTAACAACACTTTGAAATTTATTGAGACTTGTTTTATGACTTAAACAAGTATGCAATCAACAGTTTTTATTGTTTCCTGTGTGCTTTAAAAGAATGTGTGTTCTCCAATTGTTGAATACAGAGTTCTACATATGTCTATTATCAAGTTTGTTAACTATGTCGTTCAAGTATTATTTTTCTAAACTGATCCCTTTGGTCATGATCGATTAGTAATTGAAAAAGGCATGTTAGTATTGAATGATGATGGTGGATTTGTCAATTTCTCCTTGTGGTTCTCTCTCTTTTTTGTGGCTTATGTATTTTATTAGGAATATACAAATTAATAATTGTTATATATTTCTGGTAAATATGTAACACCCCTCTCTATTCCTAATAATGCATTTTTCCTCAGAGTCTACTTAATCTTGTATTAATGTAGCAGCACAAACATTTCGTCTTGTTAGGATTTGTGTGGCATATAATCTTCTATCCTTTTAGTGTGGAGCATTTTTGTGTCTTTATGTTTTAATTATAGCTCTTGGAAACTACATATAGCTGGACATTTTTTAAAAATCAAAATTATTACCTCTGTCTTTTAATTGAATTTGTTTCTACCATCACACTTTCTTATTTCTGTTTTCTACCACCACTTTCTTTAATTGTTATTTTTTAAATGAATCAATTAATTTCTTTATTTTTGCGGTGCTGGGAGACAAACCCAGAGTCTCACACATACCAGGCAAGCACTCCACCACTGAGGTACATCCCCATTCCCTATCACTGCTTTTTGCATGCTTCATTTTCTCTTTTCTCACCTTTTGGTTCTAAGATTTGTTTTCTTACTATATTTTCCCCTCTCTTTTTCTACTTCTGTGGTTATCCTTGAAATTTTACCATGTGTGTTTAACTTAAACTTCTTTTAAAGTTGAACAGTATTTTAATCCCCTCTTGAAGAATGCAGGAAACTTAGAAACCTTCAATTTTAGTCATTACCCTTCTGACTACATACCATTATTTGCAAATATGTCAGTTTCTTCTTTTTTTTGTCCTAACCTCACGATTGTACGTCGTCATCCTCAGTATTATATTACATAGACAGTATTTGTTTGGACTTACATGCATCCATTCTTACATCTCAGACCATCCTTCTAGAATCATTTTCTTTCATTATGAATAGAATTTAAATGTTCTTTTAGCACAAGTCTCTTGGTGTTAAATTCTCCAAATATTTGTTATATGTAAATGACTTTAGTTTATTTTCATTCTTAAAAGATAGTTTTTTACAGTACTTGGAGAGAATATGATCTCGTCCTCTTTTAGGTTTGAAAAGTCTTCTTTGTTGCTGTTAAGAAGTACACTGTTGAGCTAGGAATGTATCTCAGTGGTAGAGCACTTGCCTAGAATGTGCAAGACCCTGAGCTTTATCTCCAGCACTGCAAAAAAAAAAAAGAAGAAGAAAAAGAAGCACACTAGCACACTATCAGTCATCTAAACATATTTAGGCATACATTTCTTTTCATGTATTATACATACTTTGGAAATGTGTTTCATGGCTCAGTATATTCATGTTTTTTATAGTTTCTGGGAGATTCTCAATCATTATCTCTTCAAATGTTGTCTCTCTTTCATTCTATTTTTTATTTCTCACAATCTAGCCATTCATATTTTGGACCTCCAATCTGTCTTCCATATCTCATAACGTCTCTTCAATATTTTCTGTCTTCTTGTACTTAATTTTGGGCAATTTCTTCAGATATATCCTTTAGATTTTTCTCTTCTGCTGTGTCTAATCTGCTATTCAATCTTTCCATTGAGATTTTATTTCAAAAATTATATTTTAATTTGTACAAGATCCATATACTTTACTTTGTAATTGCTTAGTCATCCCTTGTAGTCTCTTGTTGTTTGTTCACCTTTGTGATTACATCTGTTACTTCTTCAAATATTTTATACAATTTTCATTCAACTAGTAGTCACTGTTTGCATGAGTGTAGTACTGTAAATGTTGTTCGTGTCTAAACCACATAATACATTCTGATTACGCATTCTGTGTCGTATACCTTTTTGTTTTCCTAGGAGCTAATATTTTGTTTTCTTTTGCCTTAAGTTTTAGTACCTTTTAGAAATTCTTCTCTGAATTATTTTTAAAATCCAAATCAGACATGTCCCTTTTCTGCTTGAAATTCTCCTGTGGATTCCACCTCCCCTCCCTCAGAACAAGAGCCACAGCCCTTACCATAGCCCAAGTGTTCCTACACAATCTGGTTCCCCTTACCTCTCTGACTTCATCTCTTGTCACTCTCCTCATCACTCATTCTTCTTCAGCCACACTTGTCTTCTTTCTGCTCCTCAAGCATGCTAGGTAACCTCCCTCTGTATGGCCCTTGTGCTTGCTATTCTCACTGCCTAGAACACCCCTCCTCCCAAATAATCTGATGACTTGCCCAAGTATTTCCATTATATTCAAATGTCACCTCCCTAGAGAAGTATTTCCTGATCAATATATATAAAACAGCCCCATTCACCTCCATTTTCTTTCTCCTTACATACTTTGTTATATCTTTCTATGAAGCACTGATCACCACCTGATATACTTTATGTTTATTTATTGTGAGTATGTTTGTCTCTTCCCCATAGACTGTAAGCTCCACAAAGCAGGGACTTCTGTTTTGTTCGCTGCTGTATCCCCAGTGCCAAGAAGAGTGCATCGTAATATTTAGTAGACAATAAATATTTGTGGAATAAACTGAATGAATGAATGAGTGAATGACTTTATTAATTAATGTGAAGGAGAGAGAGAGAGAGGAGAGAGAGAATGAATGAGAATATATATGAGAATGAATATTGCTTTGGGAAGTAGGCTAGGCCTGAAGGACTTCCTAAGGAGCTTGGATACCATAGTTTACAAGGTTGGGGGCCGGGGAAAAGGAGTGAGGATAGCTTCTGGGTTATTTTGGGAATCAAGATCTCACTTGGTAATATGATCAAAAAGCCCCATGTTCTCTATGACTGGCCCTACAATCTAGGGCTCCTGAAAGCAGGCCTGCCTCTGTCTCAACCAGCCCTCAAACTCTTGTATTGTACCTGCCTATTACTCAGTGGAAGCCAAAGCCCCAGATGGCATAGGGATCCTAGCTAGCATTCTCCTTTCTTTTGTCCTCTGAGGAACTGTTTCTTGGTTCTCAAGCCAAGGGATCATGAACCATGTTAGACTTTATCTATGGTACTTGAGAGGAGGGAACAGTGAAGAAGCTGATAAATCTCTGCTAGATAGATAAGTGCTGTCATAATGATGAATACTAAGTTTTGGACAAAAAGGACTTTTATCCATTGTCCAGGTGGTAATGGTCTCTGGAGTTCTAGCCCTGACTTTTCCCCTAACCCCTTGGGAACTAGCCTGGCTTCACTGTTACTGCCTGTGCATGACTAGATACTAGTTCTGTTGTCTAACATATGCCCTATGCCCCATCCTCACATTTTTTGTCACCTGCTAATTTCATCAGAATATCGTCAATACAAACAGAACCTTGTGGCATGCTAGTAGAGACCTCTTTCTTCATGCCAGCATTAGTCTTTAGCAGACTAGGTTTAACCAGTTCAGTTGAGCAAAATTTTACCTCTATGTTTTGGCCTTCTGCTGTACATCAGACACAGAAATGAACCAGGGTGTATTCCCAGATACAGCACCATAATTTCAGGGCAGTATGATCAGTACATGGTGGGCATAGTAGACTATAAAACCCCCTAAGGAACATGCAGCCCATCTCAGGAGGCCAGGAAGATTTCTTAGTAGAAATTGCATAGGAAATGAATCTTAAATGATGAGTAGGAGTCTTCTAGTTGATTAACAAGGGGAAGATGGGCTGGGAATGTAGCTCATTTGGTAGAGTGCTTGCCTGGCATGCACAAAGCCCTGGGTTCAATCCCCAGCATCACAAAAGAAAAAAAAAATCAAACAAGGGGAGGAGAGGGTGGTCCAGGCAAAAGATACATCATGGCAATGATCCAAAGACAAGAAGAAACATGGTATGTACCAAGCTGCCTCACGTTTCACCCATTTTCCCACAAGACCATCCTAGAAGACTTTGAGAGTTTGGGGCTGGAGATGTGGCTCAAGCAGTAGCATGCTCACCTGGCATGTGCAGGGCGCTGGGTTCGATCCTCAGCACCACATAAAAATAAAATAAAGATGTTGTGTCCACCGAAAACTAAAAAATAAATATTAAAAAATTCTCTCTCTCTCTCTCAAAAAAGAGTTTGTAGCCTCCCTGATGTGACAATCTGATAAATATTCATAAAGTTGGTGAAAAGTTGGTCTGACCTGTCTATGAGCTTAATATGACTATAAGTTTCCAGTATTCCTGTTTTCCTTATGTAGATCATGGAGTTTATATGACTAGCTTCTTTTAGAACTCCCCTAGGTTTAGGCTCACTCCCACTGTCCTGGAGGTTATAGAATCTTCCTCAGTTCATGTCTTTCTTTTCTTTTTTTGGTACCAGGGATTGAACCCAGGGGTGCTTAACCATTGAACCACACTCCCCAGCCCTTTTTTATATTATATTTAGAGAGAGGGTTTCACTGAGTTGCTTAGGGCCTCACTAAGTTGCTGAGGCTGGCTTTGAATTTTGATCCTCCTGCCTCAGCCTCCTGAGCTCCTGGGATTACAACTGTGTGCCACCATGCCCAGAAGCCCCATGTTTTTCTGACTCCTGACACCTGCCATGGAATAGAAACCCTTATCCTTCAGAAAATAGACTGGGCATTGGTCTTGAGCTTTATTCAGAACCATAATAATCCAGGAAAAGTATGTTGTGGAGTCCAGCAGGCCCTGTTTCAATTTTATTAATTTTTTTGGTACCATGGATTGAACCCAGTGGCACTTTACCGCTAAGCTACATCCCCAGCCCTTTTTATTTTTTATTTTGAGACAGCATCTCACTAAGCTGCTGAATCTGGACTCAAACTTGCAAATCACCTGCCTCCACCTCCTGAGTTGCTAGGATTACAGGCATGAAGCACCACACCCAGCAAGAACCAGAAACTCTTTGGTATCCAGGGCTGACTTGATAGACGTGAGAACTGCACAGTGGGGCAGGGACCCCACACTTGGTTTAGTACTTCATTGAAGTTCTGCTGTTACATTTTTGGCAATTCTGAGGATCCAATCCAGGGCTTTCCTCTTGTTAGGCAACTGCTCTGCCTCTATGCTACATCCCCATCCCTCTGGTAGGCCCAGAACAATGTGAATTTGAAGTTCAACTAGTTATTGATGTGACTTGGATCAAATTTTGTAACACTTTAACTTTAGTAGTTTTAACATTTGTAAAATAAGGTTAATGTACCCACCTCAGAGTTCTTTATGTGTTATAATAGCATATAACATGCAAGATGGGGCCTTCACAGGCTCTAGGCCCCTCCCCACCCTGCCCTCTGGAAAGACTTCCTTCCTCAGCCTCTTCTTCTTTCTATGGCTCTTAAAGAGGACCCCACTTCCCCCTTGAAGTCACAGGGCCCCTTTCTTATGGGAACTTGTTGATGGTATATAGCTTTCACATCTGAATTAAACCCAACTTTTTATGTTATATTTAATCTTATTCATTCTGGATTTAGTTTGCTAATAGATTCTTTAGGATTTTTGTGTCTTTGGTCATCTACTGTATTTTTCTGGTCAAAATTATAGTCATCTCATTTAGTAAATTAATGAGTTTTCTAGAATTGGCTCAAATCATCTAAATTTTCAAATTAATTATATTCTCTTATTTTAAAATCTTTGCTATAACTTTTACATTGTTTATAGTATTCATGCATTTTTTTCTCTTTTTAAAATTAGTCCCTCCAGAGATGGTTTTGGTAGTTAGCCTTGACATTTTTTTTTTAAAGTTTGGGCTTTTTGTACCATTATTTATTTATTTATTTTTATGTGATTTGGAGAATCGAACCCAGTGCCTTGTACATGCTAGGTGAGCATTCTGCTGCTGTGCCACAACCCCAGCCCCTAGCCTTGACATTTTACCATACAGATTTAACCTGAAATTTAAAGTTAGACATTACCATAATCCCCACCCAAACAATACAAAAAAATTGTAAAACTCTAATGTCTCCTAACTTTCATATTATTGTGTCTACTATTTTAGTTCTTTAAAGGAAGACATTATCACAGAAAATACACATTAACAATATCATTATTTTATGCAGACAGTGTTTAGTTTTAAATATTTGTTTGCACTTTTATTTCCCCATCTTCTAAACCTCAACCCTAACTTTTGGGGATGAGTTTCTTTCTTGAAATATATACTTTAGAAGCTCCTTTAGTGCAGATCACTTAATAGGAAACTCTCTCAGTCTGGGTTTATCTATAAATTCCCTTTTTAAACTTTATTCTTCTTTAAAGATAGATTTTTTGGGGTGTACTCAATGCTAAATTACCTCTCTTTCTTCTTAACACTTAGAAGATATGGCACTGTGTTCTAGTTTCCATTATTACTGTTGCAAAGTCTGATGTCAGTAGAAATGGTTTTTGCTAGTGTTCTTTTTTCTTGGGCAGTTTTGAAGATCCTTCTTTGATTATAAGTCAACTCTAAGAACTTTTTTGTTGTTGTCCACTGAATGTTCCTTTTTATAGTATCTTCATCTTGCTTCATGAATGTAATATTTTTTTTTCTTGTTACTCTGAAGATATTAGATGATAATGTCTTTTTCTGTGTGTTCTTCTCCCTTCTTAGTTTTTGTTTCCAAATACATATATTTGGGTGTCAGCAGTAGTGAGAAACTCTCACTGATGACAGATTTGGCTGCAGGTACCATAGATACCAAAGGTGTAACATATTAGAGGGAGTTTGTATAGACGGTGGGAAGAGGGGCCCCTCGACTAGTATGCAAACAGTGGTCAGTGCCACTGATCTGTCACTTGAGAGCCTTCTAGTGTAGTGGGTTCCAGAGCTGGAGTGCCTGGGTTCAAATCCAGATCTGCGACTTCATAGCTAGTCAAATTACTTAACCTCTATCTTCTTTAGTTTCTTCTTCAATAAAAGTGATGATAATGATAATGCTTACTTCATAGGGTTATTGAAGATAGTAATGAGTTTGTATATAAAGAGTGTTTAGAATAGTGCCTGGTACTTAATAAGCACTGTACATATGTTTGATATTATTACCATTATTACTTTGTGTGGTGTGTGTGTGTGTGTGTGTGTGTTGTGTGTGTGTATTTGTGGTGCTGGCAATAGAATCCAGGCCTCATACATGCTAGTCAAGTGCTCTACCACTGAGCTAAATCCTCAGATATCCATTATTACTTTAGTGCTGAGAGGATTGAAAGGAAAAGAGTTTCTGTGATGTATTGGGGAAAGCAGAGTATATCCTGCCCTATGGGTTCTTCCACTATCTTTGAAACAAATGCCATCCACAAAAAGACAAGGTCAGGAGTCTGAAGCTATTATTTGGACACCTTAGAATGTGGTATGTCAAGTTAATTAGGTAGGCAGAATGGAATAGGATTCTTCAGTGGAAAATGGGAAGCAGTATTTAATGCTCGGTCCTTCTGTAGAAACAAGCTGTGTTGAATATTTCCTCATTGGAACAGAGAAATACCAAATGGGGAGAACAGTAACAGAGATAATATAGGGTAAGAGGATTTCCTAAAATTTAATAATGCTTTTTTTCTTAGGAGCTAACCTATAGGTACTGTGATGATTCTTCAAGTTGGGGATACACCACAGTTAAGGGGAAAGGCTGCTGCCAGGAGTTACTT